AAACCACATTTTTACATAATGTCTTGTTATTATTTTACATTTTGTATATTTAGTGAAGTTTACCTAACAATTTTAAATTTGATTTGCTAATGTAGATGTCTTAAGAAAAATATACATTTAGCATTTAATTGATAGACAAATAAGGAAACTCATTAAAAGCCCCAGAGGCCTGCCATCAATGCAAATGACATTCCACGGCTCCATAACATTCATTAAACAGACCATTTTTATCGCCAGCAAATCCTGGAGACTCGTAATGCGCCATCAATAACAATTATTCGTAGTGTCACTTTCCAAGGTGCAAATCGCAAACCATCAAAAGCAGATTTTAGACGTCATTGCACGGCGTTAGTATCCATATACATCCCTCCAACTTTTCACCCCACTTGCCATTCTAGCCAGGACATTCCAATTAATAGCGCTTCATTGAACTTTTTCGCGTAATTTAAATGCTAATTTTTCATAGCAACCTTTTCGATGTGCGCTTTTTCCCAAGCTCACCTGCAATGTGTTTATTCTTTTTTGTAAGTAAAGTAAAGTTTGTTATTTGTATAATCACAAATCAGGCATAAGTTAAACTTTGATTACATTAACATTGTAAAGCAGATGCGGGCGTGGCATCCAGCCTGCTATCTTCCATGCCATCATCCGCATGACGTATGCGTAATATTTACTTGTGCGACATATTTTAAAGACTCGCCTCCAACTTTTTAATGACACCAATTAGCAACTCTTGAGCCACTGAAGCGATCCGCGATGCGAGGGAGGGGAGCAAGTGGGGCCTTGGTAAATATGGCCAAGGAGAACCGAGTACTAAAAGCTGCCTTTCATACATACATTCATGCATATCCCTCTGGCTCGTTAAATCAAAATGTGTGCTATAAACTCACTCGTTTCCCGTCGGCCACTCTGTAAATAATAATTATTTATTTTTACTTTGTTTTCGCTTTTCAAGTGGGTGCCGAGACTTATTAACCAAGAAGTGGTTGTTTAAATATGCCTTTTTCTGAAAATCACTCCTTTGGCTTAAAGTAAGTCTAAGTGCAAAAAAACATGTAGATTTAAATGGGTATCTAGATAAATTCTCCTTAAACTAGAAAAAATGATAAATCCACCGAATATGGGTATTTTTAGTTACTGAAAACTAAGTTACAAACAAATTTTAAAAACAATGTTTCTTTCAAAACAATGTGAATAAAATACCTAACCTGATCATTAGTCGTTTGTGTAAATGTTTACTATTAACATGTTTACTATTAAATTTTACTATTAAATTTTATATAAAAACTTAAGCCAACATTGATTGTCAGCCAAAAATGCAATCAATTGAAAACCACTTAAAAGCCATCGAAAAAAATATTCAACTCCCCTACTCTAAACCAATTTGACCCTGATATTTGGGAAAGGTCTCTCCTTATTTTCACAGAGTAAATATTACAAGGGCCGATTATGTGAGAAATATATATGTATGTGCATACGACAATCTCGGCACTAGGAGCGTTTGCCATAATAAATGTAAATACGCCAACTGACTGACCAACCAACCCATTTGAAAAGTGCGTGGAGGGGAATTCTGGTGCTGGCGCGAATTGGTTGGGGGCTGTCAACAAGGCTTCTTGCGGTGATCAGCGGAGAAAGCGGTCCAGAATGTTGAGCAGCTGTCGAGGACGACAAGGTCTAGGATGCGGATTCGGATGCGGAGGTGGAGCTGGAGCTGGAGATGGAGGACTCTTTTGCTATTGACATTTGACAAGTCGCACGGGATGATGGTTTGGCTTTGGCCCCAGAGGGCAGAGGCCGGCGATGGATGCGGACCGGGGCACGCCTACTTAACGTTTTTTCCCTCGTTCGCAGCTTTGCTCCCTTTTTATTTATTATTGCCTTATAATATTTTCTCTTGTCTTTAGAATTTTGAAATAACCGCGGGTGCGATTTCCCTGCCCCGGCTAAGAACCGACTTAGATGCCTGATGACTTAGCTGACTGGTGGACTGGGAATAGACTCTCGTGATTAAATTTGTGTCCTAAACGTGTTAAAGTCGATCAGGGTGCTTCAATGGTGGCAGTCGTGTGTTGGAAACTTCCCATTTGATTGCATTAAAGACGTTGACTGCTGGGCCCGCGGACTGGATTGAATCAGGTTTGCGGTTGCCAGGATTGATGGGTTGACGGTGGGGAAAGAACAAAAACAAAACAGAAATTCGAATTACATTTGTAAACGCATCTGCTATCTTAAGAAATTATGTCAATGTATTTTCTTTTAACGAAAACTTGTAAGCTTATTAAATTAACTTACTGTAATCTTTAAAAGTTATATTAAAAACAACACAACAAAATATTGATGGGCTTTCTTAATTTTCTAGAAATTATATCTATGAATGATTTTAAGCAGAGGTTCCAAAAATCTAACTCATTTTACACGCTATCAGCAAACGATCAGTTACATACGAGTTTTTGGCCAATTGTTATTTAAGATACTGCTTATTATTTCTGCACTATAGTATTACAAGAGTGATAAGACCAAAAGAAATATGCATAAAATGTTTAAAAAATATGCAACAACATTAGTTTCTATAACTGCTTTTTATTTACTTCAAATTGCTTGAAGTACAGAACTTATATTTTCCTCGCTAGGCCCTTACTTAATTTGCTAACTTTAATAGTTGAGAGCTTATAAATAAATGCGTTTGAGCATTTTGTTTGCCTGGGTTTTGTTCGAGACGAAACGTCGTGTGCAATGATCGGTTTAATAAGTCAAGGGGAAAATGGACAACCAACTGTTGGTGAGCAACACAGAAGCTCCAAGGCAGCCACAAACGGCAAAAACTTTACAGGATGGAAATAATCAAAAGGACCCTTTCCGAAGGATTGTAAGCTGCTTTCGGCTAAACCAGTTTGCACCCAGTGCAGTCGGCCAGCACTTGCCCTCCTTTCCCCAGCAGATCCAACTCCCCTTTTTTTTTCCTTCCTGTTTATTATTTTCCTGTCTCGGCTCAAAGAGGTGGGAGACGCAATTGCTTACGCTAGCATCGTGTGATTTACATAATGTCCTTGTCGACAACATGCTGCCTCTATTCTTTTTATACCCATCCCCAGTCAGTTGCCAGTTTAAAAATATTAACTGTCAATTTGTATTTGGCATCACTTGGCTGAAGGGGAATTTGTGGGCCGGGCTAAAATGGGAACATGGGACGTTTACCAAGGAATACTTAAGTTTATTTAGTTTCATGAGAATTTCCAGTAAATAAACTGGGTTCCTAGAGTATGTACAAAAGTATTTTAATAAAAAATCAATAAAATATTCAGTCGAATGTCAAGCAATTGAAGTTAATAATTATTTTCAATTGAAATTCGGAATAGGACAATGAAATACAATACTTTATTGCTAGCTAAGACTAAGAATTAATATTCTTTATAGTGTCAAATACACCAAATACCAAACCTACTTCAAACATTCGATGTTCTTTTTGCGCGCAGTGCCTTTCGCATCAAAGTTTATGGTTGACTTCTCTTGAATATTGCAACAATTATTAAAAACCCTTTGATCCAAATCAAACAAAAGATATAGTTGCTCATATATAAAACCACATACACAAACATGGCAAAGAATGGGGGAAACTGGCAACATTCGGATGGGCAAAATAGGTTTTCTAGCAACATTTTATTATCTGTCGACAATAGTTTATCACGAGATAAAGCCCACCCGATAAGGGCCTAAGCACTGTGATAACACACAGCAACGAGAGTGTGGACAAACAGACGATAATAATAATAACAGTCTACAACTCACTCACTCACTCAATCGGTTTGGTGACAAAGGAGCTGGCGACAGGACAGGCCGCAGTCGAATGCAGGCCGTTTGAGAGCAACATGCGTCACAGGGGCTAATCAGGCACCCACCCCCCATTTCACCCCATTCACCCATTACACCCCATTCACCCATTTCTCCACATTCCTTCCATTTGTCCGCCCCTCTTTCAATACCCCCCGTCTGGAGTTGGCCCGCAGCACGTGGTGTGCATGTCTAGGAACTCCGGAGCACAAGCCACCCCGTCGGGCGAATGCGGGCTGGGGGGGTTGGAACTGCAACTATATGTGTGCTAGACTGGGACACCATGTACTGTGATAAGGACTTCGACTTGAAGCCCCTCTGGTTTCCATTCTGCCATTGAGTATATTGGTTTCATAGCTAGCAATGTTAGGAATGCTTTAACATCCTTACACATACGATAGTTTTAAGTTTGGCAACCTAACACATACTCTACTCTTTCGATGTTGTTAAAATTATTCAAGCTACCAATTTAAATTTTCTTTTTGATATATTTATATAAAACTTTTTCTTCTGAGTACTGGGCATATAGCACATAAAAACTATTAAATATTTCAATCCTCAAGTATTAATTGGTCGACCCAACATAAGCTGAGCCTTTAATTTCAGGAGTGCCACCCCAATATGCCCACGCTCAATTGCCTAGAAAAGAAGGAAAAAACAAAAATAAAATGTGGAAAACTAACTCAGAAAACGACTCCGTTTTTTTTTGCTGCTCCGAAAAAAAAACCACTAACTTTTTTATATATTTCTATATGAGTTTTTCTTCCGAGTACTGGTCAAATAGTACTCAAGAACTATAAAATATTTTAATCCTCATGTATTAATTGGTCGACTCAACTTAACCCGGGCCTTTGACTTCAGGGGTGCCACCCCAAATATGCCCACACTCGATTGCCTAGAAAAGGCAGCAAAGACAAAAGTAAAATGTGGAAAACTCACTCGGAAAACGACTCGGCTTTTGAGCCCTTTCAGTTGCTCTCCATTCGCCAGTCGATTGCGACTCGGGCGTTTCGTGCGGGTGGAAGCTCCAGCCCCCTCTGGATGGGCTCTGCTGGGTGGACTTGTTGCTCGACTCGTGGCCCATCGGCCAGGCCTGTGATTCGTCTTTGGCCCGGACTCGGGTTGCCCGACATCGCCGCTTCGTTCCTGCAGCCATTCCACAAGTGGCCGTCATCCTCAGCGCTTCCGCGTTTCCGGTACTCGTAGCGTAGTGCGCTCCGTTTCGTTACTTGCTTCAGTTGGCAAATTTATAAAAATAACATTCCACTGGTGCGGAAATCTACAAAAATCCCTAGTGTAAAAAAATACAAAGAATGTGAAAAAGTTATTGTGTCGATTTAGACAAGGATTAAGGTTGATAAACCACATTGGGATACAATAAAGTAATACATATTCCAACCGGAAAAGTGTGAATACTGTTTCAAAAGTGTTTTTAAGTGTTTAAAAAATACTGACAATTCGTAAGTTAACAAATTTCAAAATGTGCGAAGTATTTAACATTTTTAAAATAAACATATGAATAATAAAGTGAAGACCGGTGTATTTTTATCTGAGATACAGCAAAAAATATATAATCAGAATCAGACATTATTGATTTAAAATATTTTAAGGGGTTTTAGGTCAAAGCTTATTTTCCTAAAATTTATTAAATCATGCTGACAAGTATTACACAAATAAAATGACTTGAGCCCTATTGAGTCATACAAATCTATATTGAACGGAGTATAACAATCTGAATTTCTGAATTGACACAACGTTATTTCATGCAATACCTCGACAAAGTCTCCGATACACTTGTCAAATGCAGTGCAGCGTTGTTTCAACCTTGCGTCCGCCCACACAGAAAAGGCAAACAAAAGCCCACAAAAGTATGCTTTATTTAGTAGAAAGCGTAATAAATATTACACAAGACCAGGTGCTGAATGCTGGCTACATAGCCAAGATCCTCAAACCCCTGTCCGCCGCCAGACAAAGGAGTGCAAATTTCAGTTAAGCCACCTGGAGGAAAAATTAAGACGTCCAACTTGTTGCTAGGATCGACATTAAAAGCGTTCGGGGAAAAAATAGGCGACCTATTTTGACTTCCATATTCCTTTCTAGGTCATTTCAGTTCTAAACCCCTTAAAAAAGAGTAAAATTAGTAGTATACAAAAAAAACAAATTATAAATTTACGAAATCCATTTGAAAATCATTTAAAAAAAGAAATAACGTATCCTTTCTTTGGTTGTTAAAAAGGAATGGAAAATAAGTTTATTAAATAATTATTTTCTTCAGAATTTAAATTGTATTAATAACGAACTTTGCATTAAATTTATCTTGTTAAAATTAACAAAGCACATTTGACGAAAAACAAATATAAGCTATATTTTAAATTAAATATTGTTTTCAAAGCTTTTTATACTAAAGTAGAAAGTGCATTGTGGGTTGGTGTTATATAACTTACCATTGACGATTTAGCTTTAAATCAAAGATTAAACAAACTATGTAATAGAATCTAATATGCTGGCCTCTAGAGGAAGACCCCTGCTGTGTTAAGCTTCGTCATTTTTCTTAACATTCCTTTAAGAGACTCCAAAGAGTCTAGTGTCCAAGGAGCTGTTGTCGTTAAATAATAGCGACACTTTTGTTTCACTCAACGCCGACCGCGAAAGAAATGCACTGCAAAGTGCGCGTTTTCTATTACAGCAAAGTCGATGTACATTTCCCATGCCGCGTATCCGTGTCCTTTGGTCTGTGCCACGCTTTAAATGCTGCAACACGGTTCCGGGTCAAATGCTGGTGAGCCGAAGGGCATAACCATAACAACGACAACACCGCAAAAGCGTTTCATCGGTAAATGCTTTGCCCTCAGTTTTTTCTTAATACCCCTCACTAATGCTGTAAATATGGGTATATTACATCCGTGCAATGGTGTACAGCAAGGAGAGGGATGCGTAAATATGTTCTTGTAATGCCGACGCGATCAACAAGCTAGATCATTTATATTTTCCAATTGATGGCAGAGCTCTTAAATAATAGCCTGCACGATCCTGCATACCCAATCCTAATTATGCACCATTAACATATATTAAACTTTGAGTTGGAATTCTACTGCAACGACTGCAGAGTGCAGAGGGTATTACAACTCAATGAAAGATACATTTTCAACTGTATAAAGTATATATTTTTGTAAAATCTTGAGTTGCAAGTCCAAGAAAGGATGTCCGTCTGTTTGTTTATCCGTTTCAACATAAAATAGTCCTTCAGATTTAAGGATAAATGAATGGACTTCCACGATACCCTTATCTATATTGCAGGTAGTACATAAGTTTGACCATACAGATATTGATTTAATAAATTCGGTGAAATGTATCAATAGTAATTTAAGTTCCATTAGAAAATTGTGAGAATTTGTAATAACAATTTCCACATGTCGCAATAGGAATTGGTCAAATAAGTTTATTGATTAATACATTATTTTCGTAACTGTTTTGGATTGCCGAAGCTAGCTTCCCGTTTGGTATGCAAACTTCATATTGGCCTTTATCTTTTATTCTTGGATGGCCGTTATCTTTGATCTTTAATCACAATTTGCTATCTGTGATTAACATTACAGGTGTCACTTTAATTTGATTTGGTGACACATTAATAATATTACTCTTTCAAAAATTATCTAAAATGCAATATTGACATAACAATATCTAATGCAATATTTCAGTGCCACAATGAAATACTCACTGGGAGCAAACCAGTTTGGAAATAGTTTTTATTATGCATAACAAAACAAAAACTAGCCGCAAGAGTTAGAAAATTGATGCTAATATAAAATTATTTGCCAAGAAATTATTATGTTTGGTGGTAAATATATGGATGATTTTATAATATAGTATTTTCCCATTCAGCCTAGAGGCTACATAGAATATCATTTAAAACCAAAACACTATTTATTTGTTTGTCTTAATGAAGGGCACATATTATTATTATTTTATTTTAGATATAAGATCTTTAAATGACCTTGGTACAAGAAAACTGAGAATATTTTTTGTAATCAAATTATATTAATTCTTTTCTGCTAAGCATAAACTTCACTATTTAAAATTGTTTTTATAGTGAAAACTTTTCGTATTCCGAATAATTTGGGAAGATTTAACAATCATGGATGCCTCGCAGCTCACGGAACTGATGAGCAGTCATGACTTCATGCAGTTGCAACATCAGTTGCATCACAACAACAATAACTACAACACAGACGGACACAATGGACTATCCTCGGAGTCGGCGGAGGGCAGTTCAAGGCCAGTGCGACGCGCCACCAGACGCACCTCACAGGTAGGTCGTAATCGTAATCGTAATTGAAATCAAAATGGAAACCAGATGATGTGGTGAATGCTATAATTCCGGCAAATATTTTATTTCATTTTCCCCAGTTAAGCAATAACACCTACGACCTGGAGATGACGGACTCCAGTTCGCAAAGTGATGACACAAGTGGCGGTGGCGGCAGCAGCAATGGCGGCGGCAGTGCCACCAATACTGGCCAGGGATCGGGATCGGGGGTGCCGGGCCAGGGGGGCGGGGGCTCCCAAGGTCGCGGGCGGGGCCAGCAGGCCAACGCCAGTGCCTGCCCCTCGACCCTCAACCCGAACAGTGCCAACTCCAGCTCCTCCAATGCCAACTCGAACGCGAATCGACGGCGCAAAGGAGCTCTGAATGCGAAGGAACGGAATATGCGGCGACTGGAGTCCAACGAACGGGAGAGGATGCGGATGCACAGCCTCAACGATGCCTTTCAGTCGCTGCGCGAGGTCATTCCGCACGTGGAGATGGAGCGGCGGCTGTCCAAGATCGAAACCCTGACGCTGGCCAAGAACTACATCATCAATCTGACGCACATAATACTCTCCAAGCGGAATGAGGAGGCGGCCGCCTTGGAGTTGAACTCGGGTGGAGTGGGTGGTGTCCTGCTCTCCAATCTCACGGCAGAGGGTGGAGGAGTAGCAGTAGGAGGAGGAGGAGGAGGAGGAGGAGTAGGAGGAGGTGGAGGAGCAGGAGTAGCGAACGGTGCCACGACGCTGTGCTTCGAGGATGCCCTGGCCAACGGAGGCGCCTTCGACTGTGCCCTCCTGGCGGCCACCGATGGCAGTCTGCTGAACGCCGCCGCCGTCAACGCCAGTCCCACGATGCAGAGCCTCCAGCAGCCACAGGCCCAAATGCACATGCAGACGCCGCTGGAGCAGCAGTCCAGTCACCTCCCATCACATCCCCACCACCAGCAAACGATCCATGGCCATGGGGGCCACATGGGAGCCACCATGATGCAGTCACAACAGCAGCAGCAGCAGCAGCAGCAACAGCCGCCCACGCTCATCCTCAATGGCAGTGCCTCAGTGAACGTGGGCGTTGGAATCGGGGTGGGAGTGGGCGTGGGTGTGGGAGTGGGCGTGGGGGTCAATAATGCCAACAGTTTTGCCGATATCAACGATAACTTCGACGAGCCATTCCGAGAGTTTCTCTAAGCGGTATTACCTTGATCGTAACATGTATAAATACAATAGAAGGGCTACAATTATATTATATTTAAGTGATTTTTGAGAGAACGATATTTATGGGCTTTTAAGATTTTATAAATAGACCCCTTTTTTGCAATAAACCTCACCAGTAAAAAATAGATTATACAACAAGGGACCGCAAAACTTCATTTCACTCAAAATATTTTAGACAGATATTTCAGAAATGATTTAAACACAAAGAAAACTATTTGCAATTAAGTTGTGAAGCTTGTAAGTCAAGTTAAAAGATAACATACAACCACTTGTTTTGAAAGGATTTGGTCTGTTAGCAGATAGATCTTTAAACCTTACATAAAGCAACTTATTTAATGTTTAGCCTACAGCTGGATTTATTTTTCAAAGTAGTAGTAGACTTACGATTTTTTCTGTGCTTTCAAGCTTAATTGAGTGGAAATTTTGAAAAAAACATTTCAAGTTTAAAACTTACACTCTAGAGAAAGTATGTTGCAGAAATTAAGCGAACTTTACTGCACGCAAATGCCGTTCCCGAACAGAAATAAAGTTTTAGTTACGAATATGTAAACAAACTTGAAATATCATCAAATATACGTATACTTTAATTTAGAGATAAAATATAATATATCCAAACTTAGGGTTCCATAACACATAGGATTTAATTAAGTGAAATTAGTCAAAGTACATTCACATACCTATATGCACTATTAACCGCAGTTCTATCATTCATTACTCATTGTAATATTTACATTTCATTTATACAAACATAGTTATATTAAAACGGAGGAAAAACCGCAAAGAACAGAAAAACTCTATTTAAGCTGAAAGCATACAAGTTATATCTCTAGCTCGCAGAAAACAAAATTAAAGCATTTTTGGTTAGAACTTGTAACTATTTAAATTGGTTTTTATGGTTTATGTTTTTATCTTAGTCAAGAAAATCCAAAGCCAATTTAATTTTTTATTCATTCGCATACAATTTTATTAAATGCAACTGTTCTATAAAACAAAAGTAAATGTCAAATATTGTTGATTAAATGTTAAGTGAGTCGATCAAAAGAAAAGTGGTTTCCCTCAGCTTAGTTTTGTATTTCAGAGATGTTCGATATTCGTTGAGCTTACTAACATTCATTCGTATACAACTACATACTTACACATATAATTGTCAGCAATAGCAACAAAAACAAGGAATCAATTACCGTTAACTAGCAGTCCTGGCGTCTGACTCTGAGGAATGACGGTCTACAAAGTGTCGCCCCCGATAAGTTAATTTACCACCCATGATCTTTTTAATGCACTTGAAATTTACCAAGGATATACGTTTCTATGTATGTATGTGTGAATAGGCAATGGGAAATGGGATGCGAGGGCGGTAGTGAAGAATTAACACACAAAACAATTAACACACCGAAACGTCGAATGGCTCACTGAAATTGGCACACTTCCGTTATGGCGCACCATACCAAAAACACGTTGGGCGGGAAAAGGACACGGATATATCAAGGATACCAACGCTCGGACGGTAAACAGTAATAAAATAACGGTGCTCAGTGGGTGTCAAACTCGGGGGATAGAGTGTTTGTGGGTGTGTGTGTGAGTGAGTGAGTGAGTGAGAGAGTGAGGGATGGATGGGGATGGTCTTAGCAATAATTAAGTGAAAAATAGTAGTTGGGGTGGCTCTTTTCTCTCGGGTGTCGAGTTAAGCTTGTTGATTATGTTTGATTAGCGAGGATTTCGAATTTTGGGTTAGTTGGTGAAAATATTTAGCTTGAATACAGTTACAATCGCATAAATAGCAAATAAAATCTCCCAAATGGACCATATTATTTGAAAAATATCTAAAAACTAAAAACTAACTTGCTCTTCATTAAATATCTTTAAAAATATGTTTTAAACTATAGTTTACTTAAATAATCAAAAAATACCATCAATTATTTTTGTTTTAATTTCTTATTCATTTTTTTTTCTATATCATCAAAATAAATAACTCGACTAGTTTTCTACATATAAAATATAAAATACAAGAAATACATTTGCTATTGTTGATTTACGCTGTAGGCTTAATAATTAGTGGAACCTCTTGGGAGTTTTTGACTCAAATATGTACATATGCAGATGTTTATAAAGCTAGGTGAAAACTCAAGAATGAAATTATAGGGAATCGGCAATTAGGTAAAGACATCGAAAGTAGTGCTGGGTGGGGTCCATAGAGCAATATTCGTATTCGGACGGTTTTTACATCGAACAGAAGCAAATTGGTAAAGTCATGAGTTAGTCTAGTCAAATTCTGTTGCGCAAAATAAACCCAAATATAATCGTAATTAATGGAAAATGCAATATAGATGTTTAGCAAGTCCTTAGGTGTGTAATTTAAATGTTTTCCAACAGAAACAGTCTATTACAATATATTTAATGTTATAAAAATAAACCCCCAAATGAGCAAATATTAATGTAACAAAATACTAATTAAAACATATTACTCGTACTGTAAATAATACTAAGATGGGACTATGATGATGAGCATTTGTTGGGTACAAGCAAAGGAAATTATATTAATACATATTTATGAATTCAATGTAAAAATATGCTATCTATTGACTAACTGTATACATTCTTAGGTGCAAAGCAAAGATTATTGAATAAAGTAAAGAGTACATACAGACGTTAAATAAGTTTTTTATTTTTATCTTGGGAAATATTATTGGGGAAAAGATTTTGCAATCGGAAAGATGTTCCACAGAGCCGGTCCTATAAAAATGTTTTGTTAGTACCTGCAGAACGTACCTATATTGCCTAAATACCAATTAATTAATACTGTATTATATTTCTTACCTTCTTATTGCATTATATTTTTTCTTTAAAAAATATAAAATACGTCCCTTTGTTTCACATGCCACCGTTCCGCTTTCCAAACATTTCTTACGGTGCTTGATGGTTTGAGTCAGCGATAAACTTTCATGAAAGCTTTATATCTTGGTTTGAGACTGAGCTTACCTTATATCAAAATTATACACCATCAATGTGGTGAAATCTTTAGGTTTAACTAATTTTATTTTGAGAATTTAATGTTTGTTTTTTAGGGACTTTGCATAAATTCCAAGGAAATGTTTATTGAATAATAAGAATTACAAATTATATAAAGTCCTAATGTTTTATCTCTTCGTTACCATTTCCACTATGTTATTTGAAGCTCCCGTTTGAATTTAGGGCGGTTTTTTAGTATTTACTCGTGAGTGGTGGAGAGCGTTTGGGGAGATGGCATTTCCCCCATCTGGTTACACTGAACTGACACTTTAAAAACAACCATCGAAAGTGTTGTTGTTCCGATAAGAGCGCGGGTGCGGATAAATCAAACAAAACAATAGTACAATAGTACCGGGATTTTAAACAGGTATATACACACTAAAGGGCACCAAACGTAATGAGAACTTAAAGGTGAATTGGTAAAAAATTGGTACAGAATGTGGTAGCCAAATCTGAGGATGTGTATTCCAGGTAGAGAGATGAAAACAGAAAGCGACGGTGGAGGGGGTGGATGTGGATGTGCAGTTATTTCTTCGTTTCAGGTTCACGGCTTCCGCTCCACTTTGCCCACCTTTTGTTTTGCTTTTTTTTCGATTCGAGTCGAGTGGAGTCTTACCTGAGATCTAGAACTCGGAGCGTGACTATATAGACATATTGTGTGTGTGAGTGCAACTGGGCAGCTTTAGTTTTGTGCCCATATAGTGGTGGTGTGGGCTTTGACGCTTGAGTTCGCTGCAGTTTGTTAACCCCACAGTGCTCCGATTCGCATTTACATTTTCGACTTATAGAAGTTTCGGTTTCGGTTACGGAAATGGCAAAAACGGTCAGTACAAAGCTGCCCACGGTGTGTGGGAATTCCTTATTAACGGTGGGGATTCCGGAATCAGGCGATGGCACGCAACCAGGTGCTATCATTATGCACACATGCATATCCATATCCGAACACGAGCGACGAAATGACGTCCAGCCCCAGTGACCCCATCCGGCTCCTCCTTTCGAACAGTGTGGTATTCCCCCTTTTAGTACCTTTGGGTTAAAAAACACGAACATTTATGTATGTTGGTGGGAGCGAGAACAACCGGGCTAGGCACAGTGCGCCTATATGCGACATAAAGTTATTCCAAAATTTGGTTCAAAATGAACACTTTTTAGATATTAGATATACGAGTGCAATAAATAGTCTACAAAACTTTTAATTTTGTTTTTGCTCCATCTACGAGTCAAGGATGATTAAGTATATTCACATTATTACGCAGTTTAAAAGTTACGTGTATAAAGTTAATTTTGATATCAGCCCGCAGAGTCTCTCATTTAGATGCGTCAGCAATAACCGAATCCCTTGGGTCCGATTAAAACCCGATTGGGGCTGAAAAAATTTGTAAGCAGACATTTTGTCGATTTGAAATTGAAAGTCGTTTCTTTTGTTGATATTTGAATTTAAAAGTCAATGAATATCAAATCCCTAGGGTCCGAAAAATCCGCTTGGGGCTGGATCAATTGGTATGCGAACATTTGGTTGTTAATATATTTCAATTAGATTTTGTACAAATATTATATTAAAAATCATTAAAACTCAATAGATGTGAATTTAGATTTAATTTAATTTTTTTTTACTTTGCCTAAGACTTTTTCGTTCGTAAGTGGGATCTGTTGTGTTATCTAAATGAATGCAAGAGTTTTAAACCACTGTGCCCAAAAACTTCGACAAAAGGTTTATTGACCAGTTTATTGTCCTCCATTCGAGTGGGTGAAAATATATTTGATTAGTCCTCGTTTCTCGGTGCGACAGGTGCACATGTGAACTTTTTCACTGGACTTCTTTTATAGGGCTTTGCCTAATCAAAACGCCCTACTGGCCAGTGGCTATTAGCCACTTTTTCCACCGTTGACACAATTCAAAACGATCGATTTTGTCGTGGCACTCTATTCTTGATGCCTTGCCATCGGTTAGATGTTATTATTATGCCCATGGAGGGGAAAGGCTAGTGTTACTCCACTAATTGGAAATGCGACCTTTTCTAATTGAAGAGTTCAATCTGATCGGTTGGCTCATAATTTTATGAGCAAACGTACATATGTTATACGTATACTCAAGGGTTACCGCTTTTACTATTTAAGTGAGTAAGTTACATTATTTAAAACTTGTCCACTTTAAATGCTGCTGATCATATGTAGACAATTAACAACAAAATGATTATGAATGAATTTGAAACTAGTTGAATTTTTAAATCTTGAACAAAATTGATAGTTTTTAAGACGAAACGATCACATCTTCAACGTACCTGCATTATAGCATATTATAACCTTCGATTTACTGAAGAAAAGAAATAAAAACTCGCCAACTATATTGCTAAAATTTATCGTGACATTAGATCTCTTCCTTTGCTTAATTTCATGTTCATGTCAATATCGATTTGTAAGACAGCGCGTTCTTAATGCAGGCCGTCCTTGTAACAAATGCTTGGAGCACACTCGCTTTCCCCTCGCCGCAAACCCATTAGAAGAAAATGTAATAACAAATAATAATGCGCCTAGAACTAGGCCACACGAACACAATGCAGCCAAACGAAATGAAAATGGCAAAATTCTTCCGACGAATGAAAATGGGCCTTGCCTCAGAGCGTTGCATCCAAATCGCTTGGACGCGAAGAAGTGGGTGGCAGGTAGAGTTAATCGCCAGACAGACGGGCGGACGGGGCGTATACGTACTGGGGGCATTGAGAGACAGTGCCGTGCGTCGGTTAAGTGTGCTCTGATTTGGTGGTGGTGGGCTTGGTCAGAGCTCTGCTCGGAATTCACCTCGTATTACTGGTACTTTTTGAAAAAGAGTGTGCCTGAGGCTAACCATTTTATTGATTTATGGTCGCCGTTGTCCTGTGCAATTGATTATTGCTTTGCTTCAACCCCTTTTTTGCCTTTACAGTCCGAACAAAGCAACCAGCGGGAAAAGAGGTAACACTTTCTGAAGCACAATGGCATCCGGCGGCTTGACATGTGTCAAATACTTGACATTCTTTTGCAATCTTCTCTTTGCGGTAAGTAAACAACTCAATTGTCGTAAATTTATGCCTAAGTATCAAAATAGTGGTTTAGATATTAATTGAAATTCTATTCTACATTTGGCTAAAGTTTATAGCTTAATTTGTGTAATGTATGGGATGCGATGTTCACAATTTTTTGTGCTGTTTTATGGCTTATCGTAAATTCAAAATAAGAACATCAGTTTCTAAGGATTAAAACTATTTGGAGCCATCGAGCTAGGGTCATTTCAAAGAAAGAAAAATAAATACAATATATGTATACTCGACCAAATTTTGCCGCGGTTATAAACTCTGAAAAATGATTTAAAATTTTAAAACGTCTTTTCTTAACTGCCTGTCAAGTTTTTGGTTCATTTAATTAAAAAAGCTAGATAAAGTCCTTTTTTAAACTGATAATTCCTAAGAAAATGTTATAAAACTAAAAAATTTATATAAAATATTTGGTTTTGGGAGATATTTTGGAGTAGAGATATTTAGATTAATTTTAACTTAACAAATTTAATATAAGCATATTTGAATGTTTTTAATAAAAATGTTGGTCTTGATATTAATGGAAATCCCTGTTCGCAAACCTTAGCTTACCGGTCTTCTCATCTTTCTGGTGGGTGGCATGGTTCAACTGAACTATGCTCACTACTCGAACTTCGTTAGCGATCACATATGGACCGCTCCCATAATACTGATGATTGTGGGAGCCGCCGTGGCCGTCATTTGCTTCTTGGGATGCTGCGGGGCTCTTAAGGAGAGCAGTTGCATGATACTGAGCTTCGCCATACTCGCCGTGGTGATCTTTCTGTTCGAGATCGGACTGGGCGCCGCCGGTTATATAAAGCATACCGGACTGCAGCAACTGATGGAGGGTCAGTTCAACTCGACCATGAAGCACTACAAGGAGCGGGCCGACTACCGGGATGCTTGGTCCCTGCTGCAGACCGAGCTGGACTGCTGTGGCACCTATGGACCCAACGACTGGGAGATAATCCTGGCTAACAAGACCCTGCCGGCGGCGTGCTGCTCTATAATTAACTTGAGCGAGGCCAAGGAATGCACAGTGGTCCATGCCGCACAGCAGGGATGCTTGCAGAAACTTTTGGGAATCTTGGACTCGAAAACTTTGATCTTGGCCTCTGTGGTTTTGGCAGTGGCTGGTATTCAGGTGAGTCCATTAATCCATTCAAATCTTCCTTTACTAAAGAAAATATTTTATTCCACAGATGCTCACCATACTGTTCGCCTGCTGCCTCTTTCGTTCGTTTCGCAGGAGCTACGACCATGTCTAGATTGCGCAGCGAGGATCCCGTATGCCGTATTTAAAGCGGGAACACCGATTTTCGTAGTTTGTAGTTGTCATACACATGCGAAGCATTCACGTTGGCGTGTCTATATCGAACACAATCACGAAGCACTCAAACAGAACACAAATCACAAAGAACTCATCTGTTTCACTTGCCCATTGAAGGCTGATTAGTATATCTATAACTAGGGCATATACTCTGTTTTTCCTTAGTTCCCTAATTACATCTAGGCAAACTACATTTCTTGCCAAATTATATTCAATCTCATTAAAAGTTATGTTTTCCCTTATATTTTTAGCTTGGTTTCTGTTTTTTGTTTACCAAAATAATAAATAAAGACCAACACGTATACTCCCAAATTGATTTTTGTAAATTTGCATAAACAAATATGTATAAATCCAAATCAAAATATTATTTATTCATACCCAAAATGCCAACATATCAACATCATTCATATATTTCAATATTTGGAACTTTTACATTCATCATTTGACAAAGTGCCCTTGTATCGATTTTATCAGTGGATAATCTTTCACACCCATTAGAAATATATGTTTTATGTTTGTATGTACATATGTGGCCATTTCGCCCCTCGAAAACAAAACCACCAATTTTAGATTTCGTTTGAATCAATGATTACTTGTTTTAAGGAATTTGATACCCAAAAAAAAAAAATAATTCACATTTAGACGGCCACTAAACGACTTTTTCCTAATTTTCACGTTTTTTATCTGTTCCGATTTTAAATTTCATCAGTGAAATTTATGAAAGTGAATGCAAACTTGCAGTATTTTTGTACTGGCTAACATAATATTTTCACATAAAATGCAATTTTGGATAATCTTATTGTTTACAAATTTTTTCCCAAGATGTAGTGGTTTTGATTGCGTCCTTAAAAATCAAACCAATCTAGTATACACTCAAACCTTGAATAAATATGACAACTCAAAGCATACTCAAAATGAAAAATGATTGAAATCGAATTTACAATTTTGATATCGAATTACATTGCATTGTATAATTCTAAAGCAAATCTTGCATCTTAATCTTGAGGCTTTAAAAGTAGACGATCACAGAAAAATTCATTGAATCGATGTTAAACTTATTACACAGCAACATATTAGCAATACATATTATACATAATTGTCTACAAGCCTACAGCTGAATATTAATAATTACGTAACATTTGTAATATGTATTTGTATTCGTATTTGAAACTGTGTTTTAAGAAATGTGCAGCACTGAGAAATTCTTAAATAAATCAACAATTTTAATTCAAACAATTTAAAGTCTATAATTGAATAAAAAAAAATCATTGACCATGCGATACGGTTGAAATTGTGTCTCCATTGGTTATGCATTAAATTTGTTTAAATTGCAAAATTAGAAAATATAAGCATTGGTTGCTAATAACAACGTGGGATTCCTAGTTTGTTTGTTCAATAACAAAAGAAACACAAAATAGAGTAGAAGTGTGCTATTCTGCAGTTGTATCAATAATTATTAACTTCTATTAAAAAATAAATAATATATTTCTTCAGTAGTTTCGTTAAAGAGTATATTAAATAAAATAAAATAAAATGTCACAAGGAACAGCACGCAGGGAGATAACCGGTCTAAATCGTATAACGCCAAAGAAATTAAAGGACCTGTGCAAGAAGAACAAGTTATATCAGACACCGCGTTTAAATGACGTTCTCTATTTGCACTATCAGGGTGAGAAAACAAAAGTCTCCTTAAACATGTAGTAGAAATAATTAAATATTAATTTTAGGCTATCAATCCATTGAGTGCTTGGAGGAGTATACGGAGCTCAAGTGTTTGTGGCTAGAGTGCAATGCAATTTCTGAAATTCAAGGATTGGAGCAATTGACAAAACTAAAGTGCCTTTTTCTCCAGAACAATCTGATCACGAAGATTGAGAATTTGGAGCCATGCCGCGAACTAGATACTTTAAATCTAAGCTCAAATCATATTCGCAAAATTCAAAACATTGGCACCGATATTTTGCCAGTTTTGAATAGTCTTAATATAGCTTCGAATTATTTGAAGGACAGCGAGAGCCTTTCGGACTTAATTCATTGCAAGACCCTCTCTGTGCTGGATTTATCGAACAACCGCATTGATGACATTTTAATTGTGAAAGTATTTGAGCAGATGCCCGCCCTGAAAGTCCTGGTGTTGCAAGGAAACCCAGTTGTGTCCAGACTGCCCCAGTATCGCAAGACATTGATACTGGCCTGTGTAAGTGTTTAAAGGTGCAGCATTGTATAAGACAGTTACTGTATAACTATAAAATTTGACTTTCCAAACAGAAAGAACTAACTTATTTGGATAGTCGGCCAGTTTTTCCACGCGATCGAGCATGTGCTGAGGCTTGGTAAGAATACCTTTTTTTTAAGTTTACCAAATTTTAAATATATCTAAATTAGTATGTTTATATTTGATTAAGTATTTATTCTAATTTAAAGGAAACAAGATGGCTACGAAGGTGAGCGCAGGGAAAACAATCGTTGGAACCGTGCTGAACGTAGGAAAACACGTGAGAGCGTCAATTGTAAGTCATTGCCATGGAAAATTGTACCTCCTTTCTAAGCCATCATTTCCCACCAAAAACAATCCCAGGCACCATACGCATGCGCAATAGCCACCGTCCACCAGATCAGCAGGTTCCGCTGCTGAGATCCAGTGACTCTGAGGATGACACATGTGCCGAGAAGACCCGCAAAAAGGTGGAGCTGGAAAACGGTGCTGTCGATGATTTGTGGGATGAGGTGTCGGGTGAACAGCCCAGCTCGGAGCACAGCTCTACCGGTTCTAGTTCGGCCGATGAAAATGACGCTGCAGGCTCTCAGGACGATCACATTGCTGAGGAATTGAGTAGTCGCACACGTAAGCCCCTTGAAGGGCGTCCAAAGTGCCTGTATGAAAATAAATTGGAAACTGCTGAGGACATCAAGGAAAAGGTTAAATTAGTAGAGCCTGAAAGTATAACACCCACTGCCTCTGAGGATATTAATAATTTCAAACACACCGATGATAAAGAAGTAAAAAATACTGTTCGTGTTCCAATACAAGAGGCCAAACTAGAAGAATTGAATATAAGAGAAGAACATATGGACAAGGATGATAAAAACGCTTTACTTAAAGATTTCAGTACTGAAAAACCTCAAGAAATTGACACAACATTCGGAGGTACAGAGACAGAAGTAAAAACTTCTGAGCAAGATAGTGAAATTAAATCAGCTGAGATTCAAAACATTGATGAAGATGATTTAAATCTGCATAAAATGAAATTAAGAACAGAGCTAGAAGTAAAAACTCTTGAACAGGATAAACTAGAAGAACTGAATAAAAGAGAAGAAAATATGGACAAGACTAATAGAATTGCTTTAGTAGAAGATTGCAGTACTGAAAAACCTCAAGAAAATGAGGAAACATTTAGAGGTACAGAGGAAGAAGTAAGAACTCCAGAGCAAGATAGTATAGTTAAATCAGCTGAGATTCAAAATATTGAAGAAGGTGATTCGAATCAGCATAAAATAAAATTAAATACAGAGTTAGAAGTAAAAACTCTTGAACAGAAAAATGTCGCTGAAACTCAAAACGTTAAAGAAGATATTCCAAATCAGCATACAATTAACTCAAATGAAGATTTCACTACCCAAGGCGACAGCAGTTCGGAGATAGACAACACTGAGGATCTGGAACACACTTGCAAAGCTCTGACAATTGTGGCTAATAACGACGAACTAGGCCATGACCCAACAAGCAAAGAAATCAAAGAAAAATTAATTGAGAAAATGTACAAGAGCTTTGGAGACGATATTTACGACGAACTCGACGACGAACCCCTCGAAATGCTGTTGAAAGGAGCCACAACCAATTACCACCCAGAAGAAGGACTTTGTGGCGAGGAGAACAAGACGCCGAGGGACTTTTACCAAGAAGTTGAGGAGCCGTCTTTCACACCGAAGACCAAAGAGCAACTAGACTTCGAGCTGGACTGTGCCATTGCCAATGACAAGTGTGCTCATGACTTGCAGGAGATGGGTAGCCAGTTGGAGGAGGATCTGGAGGAGCTCAGGCAGTCCACAGCGCTTTTAACTGGGTCCAAGAAGGTCGAATCCGAACTAACAGATACAGAAACAGAAACAGATGAGGAGGACCTTACAAACCAGCAAGATCCAAAGTCTCATTTTCTAGCGCAGCAATTCGAAGAACGGCGTAAGCAAATGAAATTAAGAGACGAAGCCAAGGCTAAAGCTAAAGCTAAAGCCGAAGAAGAATCCCAGAAAGATGCAGCTACAGACACGACCTCAAAAGACACTGGCGCAGATGGAGAGCAGGATCAATTGTTTGCCAAGATATTGGACGATGCAACGGATAATGTACCCAAGCGCATCTTTGGGTCTGGCTGCGATGCACCCAGTCAGGATTGGTCCAGCGAAGAGTGCATGCGTCAGTTGACTCTCGCCGAGGTGGGTGACATCCTCAGGGAAGACGACAATGTGTTTAACCAACCCATAACGAAGAAAACAAGCCTCGAAGAGGCCGAGGAAGTCTGCCTTCGAATGGACCAAAAGTTGGCCGCCGACGAGGAGGCTCTTCGCAATTTGCTGCAGGAACTGGAGGATGAGGTTGAGGTCAAGTACGACATTGAGACGAAGGTGGAGTACGAGCAGGAAATCATCATCACCACAGAAGAACCCGATGTGGCCGGCATTTGTACCTCCCTGCTGGACGACATCATTGTTGAGCTGACCTACAATGAGATATTGCTGGCCAAGAAGCCCAAGAGTTTCGAGTTCGGTCCAATTGAATCCGATGAGGAATTCAGCTATTCTGCAGAGCCGCAGCTGGAGAAGTTGGTGCCCCCGGAACTGGAGGATCCGGCACGTGGTAAAAGCCTTCGCGAATGCCTGGATGTCTTTTCAGACTTTGTCACCTCAATGGCCGATCCCAAGTTGCCCTGTTTGCTGGGTCGTAATCCGTCCTCGGGTGTGGACAAAATTCGTGCCGCCCAGAACTTGCTAAAGTCGAAGAATCTAGAGGAAATTAATAAGGATACGGCTGAAAGCTTGGATGCCCAGATAGCCAAGGAAAATGAGAGGGTTAAGAGGCGCGTGGCTGCCTCCGCTAGCCGATGTTTTAATCAACGAGAGAAATATGAGGATACCCTGGAGGTGGTGGACAACAAGCTGATGGTGGTGAAGAAGGACACTGGGGAGCTGGAAGAGCTGCCACCACCGCCAGCGTTAATCAGCGACACTGAGTCCGAGGACTACTACTCAGCCGAAGAGGTTACGCCTGGCAAAGGGGACATTCGACGTCCCTGGACCACCCCCTACAAGCCAAAACCTCGGAAATCCGAGGAACATCTTGTCTCTGAGGCCATGCAGCAATGTCGAATCGAATCCGACTCGGAGGACTCCAATCCAGACGATGCCAAAGAGAACGCTCCCGTTGAAGATGAATTCCATTCACTTGAAGCCATGACAACCTTCGGCAGCCTTGACTCTGAATTCTTTCAGAAGCTAGATCTTGAGAAAGTCACAGGAAACGATGATGCGGAATCGGCCATCGAGTGCATGCGAAGCTACAACGAACTAAAAGCCTGCATGAAAGCCGGATCGATGGAGCATCAGCTGACCAGTGAGGAAAACGAGATGTTGCAGGAAATGATTTCCAAGGACTCGGAACAAAACAAGCCCAAGCCGAACAATCCTCAAAGGGAAGAGGAGGATGACCTACTAAAGAAAATGGTTCAGCGCATGAAAGAGTTTGAAGAAAAAGAGCGTCAGCTACAGCTGAAGTCAGAAGATGATCCCAAGGAGCTGGATCCGATCAAGTTGTCCCAGGGTGGGTTTAAGGTTTTCGAAATTTCTCAGGCGGATGTCGTTGACATGGAAAATGAAGGTGTTGGGATCCTAGAAAATAAAGATTCAAAAGATGACATCAAAGTGGATCACGTGAAGCCATCTCAGGTTGAGGAAAGTATTGATCCATCAATCAAGACTCCAGATCAAGTAGCCCCAAAGAACGCCGGTATTGACGATGATATTCAGTCCGATCCCTCAACGGATTACGAATCCAGCGAAGAGGTAGTTGTGGTAGAGCCGCCTAAACTGCCCGAAGCAGTGCTCAAATCCTTCCTTTCTGACGGCTTTGAGGCAGACTTAAAAATGGTTCACGCCCTCGAAGAAGCCACTCGTCGAAATCTTTATAGCCCCACTCCCAAAAGAGTTCCGCAATCAACAGTGAATGAAGATTCCTTGCCAGGTAATGATTTGCAGGAAAAAGAACAGGAAACAACATTGCCAACCGATCAGTCCTCAAGTGCTAAGGCCAAGTGGGCCAGAATAGCGGCTAGATTACCTGAGTTTCTTGATCCTGAGACGATCGCAATGTTGGACAAACAAGAGTTTGCTGAGACCGATGAATCTGAAGACGAAGAGGACGAAAACTTTATTACAGACTTAATTAGCAGCTCAGTAACTGATACAGCGGGGATGGAAGATGAAAAGCTTGGAAATGAAGAAAAACTAGTTGTAACAGAATATATAGGCGATGGAAACCCAGGTCAGTTAAAGGCTGATGAAATGAAGAGCCGTGAGGAAAAGCTTATATCTAATATTGGCATAAGAAACTTTAAAGGCGAAGCCGGAGATATGGCTACTGAAGATACCATAAAGGAGCAACCAACTGCAGTTGAAGAGACTTCAACTACATTTTCCAATGAAAAAGAAAAAGAAGCCTCAGCTAACACACCCAATGAAAATGCTCCAACTAAACCCTTTCTGATTGACTATTTTGAGGCTGGAGAACCCACCGTTGAAATTGAAAACTTTGGCGACACAGAATCTTTGAAAACGGAACAAATTCAGTGCAACCTTGAGATTCTAAGCGATGATGGAGACGTTGTGGTTGAAGAGGTCAAAGTCAGTGCTCAGGTGACCTTTAAATAGAATTAGCTCTCCTGATTGATTGTGTAAAATTGATGTAGAGTTGTAATATTTATACAAAGATTTATTGTTTCCAACTTTCTGTAAGTAAATCCATGAGCATTCCAAATATCACGGTCGTTTAATTGTCCCACAATGATAAGGCGTGGAAAGTTCAATTTGTAGTCCGGTTCGAACCGCCTGCGTGGCGTTCATCTAAGGAAATTAATAAAAAATAGAAAACACTTGCAAAGCGATTAGACGGACTTCGGCTATAACGTTTGCCCCGGGTGGCTATCAAAATTGGCACATCTCGAACCACTCGAAACCGGATCGCCGCTAAGTGGTGCATCGTGGAAACCGGTTTGCTTTGTCGTTTGTTTGCCCGTTTCTAACGCAGGCCAATCGACCGGGTTATCACTTGGCTGCCACTGATTACAGTCCGCTTTCCTGTCTCTATCGGTATTACCAAGCGAAATGTATTTTATTGACAGGCCCCGAAAATTCAGCTCCACCGAACAGCTTCTAAGCGCGTGCTCAATCTGATTTACTGTATTTTTTTTATTATTTCTGTGTATGCAACATAATCACGAACTTAATTGCATAATGAGGTTGTGAAATCCATTCTTATCAGTTGGCTTTTTTGGACCCCCTGCAGCAAACTGATAAGAGCTTGAAAACGACTGAGCTTTTTCGTCGGTGGTCGGATGTTATTATTTTTGGCAGGCAGGCACTTTCTTCTTGATCATATCAGTTCAAACATTAAAGTTTCCATTGCACCCGTGAACCGTAGAATTTTTGGCTAATCGCTTCGAAAACTGGCGACAATTGGATTCGTTAAAAATTTGTTATAGCAATTTGCAATTTTTGTTCTATTTTCTTCTATTTTGCACAATCTTATCAAACTCTTTGGCTATTATAAAACAGTTTATATACAAAAAGCGGAAACGGATAAAAGTTTAAGTATTTAAATCTATAAAAAATAACTATTAAAACTAATAACTACTAAATTGCATTAGCACGATCAGATAGGTAACTTTGGCAGCCAATATCTGAAAGCATAAATACGAATTAAAATGGTACTTATTTCGTAATTTACTTGGCATTACCGACCGACATTAGCAGCGAATTATCGATGTTCATAAAGCCCTCGGCATTGATGGCCAACGAATTTTGTTCCACTTGCATGATAAATTCTGACAGCAGTTCATTATATGCCGGTTCTTTTGCGGGTGCAGGGTGGCAGGCCAAGTTCCTCAAATAACTGCCAATTAGCACGTTCTAAAAACGAGGAAAACAAGTTTAAACAAATGATTTTAGAAATTAACCTCTTTCTATTAATAATTTTCATATGTACATATAACCTTTTTTGCAATATTTTCTTTCAGTCAAAATAAACAAACAATTTTACCAAAATAAATACTTATAAAGAAATTCGTTCTTGTTTGGGTTAATTTTGTAACAATATTATTATAAAGTGTATTATATATAAAGTATATGTTCTTGACAGGCATTAAGGTTTAGATTTAAATACACATTTTTCCACATCATGAACTTTGTTAAAAAGAATTACGTTTTTTTACTAACCTGCCTTTTACAAAACTCTCCACTACGGCAAAAAATGAAAATCATGATGATTGAGGGTATATAGACTGAACACGTAGCATACAGGTATCTGTATTCATAGACCTCAGCCAGAACTTGCTGGGTCCAGTAAATGTTGACCGTACTGTCCAGAATCAACACCACATAAATGCTGACTATGGACCAGCCAAAAAGGCCATTGAAGTGGGTGAACAGATAGTAGAGCCCCATATGACTGTGTTTGAGGGCCAATAAAAATTCGAGGGAGCAAAGCTGATTGCAGTTGCCATCCAGAATGCAGTTGCCGCCCTTCAGATGGCAGTTGAGTACGTCCTGGAGTCGCTTTCCCAGCAGATTGACATGGTGACCCAAAATATCCACATAGAGCAGCATCAATACGCTTTGCATCCGAATGACAAGGATTGACAAGAACGAGGGCCAGAAATATAGAAGACTATTGCTTACAGCAACATAGACGGAGGGCAATATTGTCAGCAAAAGCCCAACACCAAGTCCCAAAATTTTAGCATACGACCTCCAGTTCATGCCCTCAACTTGCATCTTCAGCTCGCACTGAAATCCCAACCGCAGACACTTAATTTCCATGCAGAATCTGTAGTAGTCATCATACTGAAACATCATCTGAAGCACGATGACAGTGACGCACACAATTTTAGCTACAAAAACAATCACGTTGACCATCAGCGAAAGAAACAGTTCACTCCTCTGAGGAAAATATATTGCAAACCCAAAAGTAGCAATATTGAAAACAATCAAGAAAACCGAGTAAACTCTTTGTATAAACCGAGAGTTGGCAGAATTCTCCGACCAAGGCACAATGCCCAGCAAAGCAAAGTATTTGAGGTACGTTTGTAGGGAATACAACATGCCGTAGGGTTGAATTTAAACTAATTATAAAGTCAAGCTGTAAGCCTGCATATAGCTCTCAATTAGAGCAGCCAATTTGCTAATTAATCAGATTATTTGACTTATCAATTAGTATCTTTCAGTAGCCACTATTAAATTAGAAGTCGAGAAGAGTGTTAAATCTCCCCTCTTTGCAATCAGTGGGTCATCTAGGTGCTAGATTATTAAAGTAGATCACCGGAAAACGTGTCTAGTAATGGAAACCCCCTGAAAACCCCCTCTTAATTGTTTTCACTCTATGAGTATTTAGCTCAACTTTTTGAAAAGTGTTCCCACACCTGGCAAACTTTAAATGGAAATAATTAATATGGTCGGGCCCTCTTGAACATGAAAAATCGACATGCACACCATATTTTTTCCCCGAATAATGTGCTGCACGCATTCCAAGCTTAGCTTGATAAGAAATCTGATGTTTCTATAATTTAATTATGATATATACGTAAAGTGAGCCAGCAACAACGCACGACAATGCAGCGGATTTGCTCTATTTGTGTTTTTGTTTATAATCAGTTGATAACGATAATGAACGGCTCGTGTGCTGCCAAGGTATAAATACGATCCGGTTTGTTCACACGATTTCAGTTGATAGTTGGCCGGCCCGGCGAAAGGAAATCGAGGAAAACTGTGATACTTATATTAACTTTGTCAAGTGAATTTAAAAAAAAAACTACAACCAACGAAAAGTGTTAATTTAAAAAGTGCTGAATAAGTGTCACCAACCATGGCTGTTAGTATCAAAATAGAGTTAAATTAGAAGATGATTTATTAACAGCTTATTGCTAACAATAATAACAAATCAGTAAAGAGTTCTTCAAATATTTGTATTAAATAAAATGTCTAGAAAGATGTTTTCGTGAGTTGCTAGCACTTAAACTTATGAATAATAAAAATAAATTAAAAAAGGAAGAGTACATATTAACACTAAAATTAACATTTTAACAAATTTAAAATAACAAGACTAATTCGTTATCAGCTGTGTTGTCAATTGTGAATTTTTAAAAAATCAAAAGCTTTTTCCGTCGAGATATTTAAATACGTTAAGCTAAGAGGTTGACAGAAAAGCTCAAAAATACATATTTCTAGAAAGTGCACTTAAATTATCCTTAATTTACAAATATTTCACAAAACAACTTCTTGAAATTCTAAAAAATCTAGATACCCATATCACTGCTAAGGTCTAAAGTCTAATTCACCAACTTTTTCAGCTAAAACTGAAAATAGCCATTATTGGGCAGAGCAACTTTGCCGCTGATGTTCTGGAGCTGTTGCTGGAGCGTTCGAATGTCCAGATTGTGGGTGTGTTCACAATTCCGGACAAGGGCAGTCGCGAGGACATCCTGGCCACCACGGCCGCCGCCCACAAGATACCTGTCTTCAAGTTCTCCGGCTGGCGCCGCAAGGGCGTGGCTCTGCCCGAGGTGCTGGAGCAGTACAAGTCGGTGGGCGCCACCCTGAACGTGCTGCCCTTCTGCTCCCAGTTCATTCCCATGGAGGTGATTGATGGGGCGCCGCTGGGCAGCATCTGTTATCATCCCTCCATCCTGCCAAGTCATCGGGGAGCCAGTGCCATTTCCTGGACCCTCATCGAGGGTGATGAGGTGGCCGGTTTCAGTATCTTCTGGGCGGATGACGGCCTGGACACTGGACCGCTGCTCCTCACGCGCCAGACGAACCTGGAGCCCACGGACACACTGGACACCATCTACAAGCGGTTCCTGTACCCCGAGGGCGTCAAGGCCATGGGCGTGGCCGTGGACATGGTGGCCAGCGGCACGGCTCCGAAGATAACCCAAACGGAGGTGGGGGCCACCTACGATCCGGCCATGTTCAAGGTGGAAAACCAGATGATCAATCTGCAGCAGTCGGCGGAGAGAATTTGGAACTTTGTCCGTGGCCTGGACTCAGTTCCCGGAGCAGTGGCCACTGTGATCGAAGCGGATGGCACGGAGGAGCAGGTTCGTCTATTCGGCGCCCATCTGTACTCCGCTGGACCCGTCTCCAATGGCCAACCACTGCGCCTGAAGGGTCTGACCAAGCCGGCTTGGATCCACAGTGCTGGTCTCCTCATCGAGGGCACCGATGGCGCCTTCGTCAACGTTCGCCGCATCAAGCGGGGCTCCAAGGTGATCAGTGCCAGTGATTGGTTCAAGCAGGCGGATCAGCAGCCCATCACCGACTTCACGGAGGATGAGCTGGCCAAGCGAACTCTGCTTGCCGGAATCTGGCAGGCCATACTCAAGGATCAAATCGAGGCCTCCACCGACTTCTTTGCCGCAGGCGCTGGCTCCATGGACGTAGTGCGTCTGGTGGAGGAGGTCAAGGAAGCCTTCGACGTTCCCCTGGAAAACGAGCAGGTCTTCATGGCGCCCGTATTCGAGGAGTTCTTCGGCCTGCTGGTGAGGATACTCCGCCAGGGAAGTGGCGGTGCCGCTGGCCAGCAATTGGACTTCGAGGGATTCACTTTGAGGGCCAACAAACGGGAGATCCGAGTGCCCACCCAGCTGTTCATCAACGGTGAGTTTGTGGATGCCGAGGGCAAGCGCACGCTGGACATTATCAATCCCACCGACGAGGAGGTGCTCTGCCAGGTGGCCTGTGCCACTGCCAACGATGTGGACAAGGCGGTGCAAGCGGCCCACTCCGCCTTCTACGGATCGTGGAAGCAGATCTCGGCCAGACAGCGTGGCCAACTGATGCTCAACCTGGCCGATCTGATGGAGCGGCACAAGGAGGAGCTGGCCACCATTGAGTCGGTGGATTCCGGCGCCGTCTACACCCTGGCCCTGAAGACCCACGTCGGCATGTCCATCGATGCGTGGCGCTACTTTGCCGGCTGCTGCGACAAGATCCAGGGCAGCACCATACCCGTCAATCCGGCCAGGCCCAACAATGTGCTGACCCTCACCCGCAAGGAGCCGATCGGGGTGTGTGGTCTGATCACGCCCTGGAACTACCCCCTGATGATGCTGTCCTGGAAAATGGCCGCCTGCATTGCCGCCGGCAACACCTGTCTGATCAAGCCGGCGCAGACCTGTCCCCTCACCGCTCTCAAGTTCGCCGAGCTGACTGTCTTGGCCGGGTTTCCACCGGGCGTGATCAATGTCCTGCCCGGCAAGGGATCGGAGGCAGGTCAGGCTGTGGCCGACCATCAGCTGGTGCGCAAGCTGGGCTTCACCGGCTCCACGCCCGTGGGCAAGCACATCATGAAGTCCTGCGCCGACTCCAATCTAAAGAAGTGCTCCTTGGAGCTGGGCGGCAAGAGTCCACTGATTATTTTTGCCGACTGCGACATGGACAAGGCGGTCAAGCACGTGAGTACTCCATTATTTGGAATTCAAGTTTTTCTTTAACAAAGTATAAGCCAGATGTATTACACAACTGGAATTCATCAGTGGTAGCTGGTTAAAGGTGATTCATATCGTTACGGAGTTAAATTAAAATATTTATCGGCTTTATAAATATATTAAGCTCAGTTAGTCAAAGATATTGCTCATAATTACTATGTTTTGTCCCAGCCTTTAATTAAAATTCTTGGTGCAACAATAATATACTCACAAATTCTTAAGCTTCAAATTACTTTTTTCTTCAACTAAGATTTGATTCGCTTCTAAATACTGTTTAAAATGCAAGCCTGTACTTATAAATAATGATTTAATTTTATCTATACCAGATATAGAAATATAACAAAAATAGTAACTCGCGAATTCGTAAGCTTTTTCTAACAAAAGGCACATTCTTAAACCATACATATCAATTTATTGTTAAAATGCAGAACACTGATTTATGTACCCGATATTTTTATGAATTTATTTTTAAAAGGCAGATCTCTAGCACAATTATTAAAATAATTATTATGAATTAACAAAGTACTAATTTTGTACCTTCTCCAACCAGGGCATGTCTTCGGTGTTCTTCAACAAGGGAGAGAACTGCATCGCCGCTGGACGACTGTTCGTGGAGGATCGTATCCATGACGAGTTCGTGCGACGCGTCCTCAAGGACCTGCGCACCATGACCATTGGCGATCCGCTGAACCGATCGACGGCCCACGGACCGCAGAACCACAAGGCGCACTTCGACAAGCTGCTGGAATTCTGCCAAAGGGGCGTGGCCGAGGGCGCCCAACTAGTGTACGGCGGATGCCGGGTGCCGAATCTCAAGGGCTACTTCTTCACGCCCACGGTATTCACGAACGTTACGGACGACATGTACATTGCGCAGGAGGAGTCCTTCGGCCCGATCATGATTATCTCCAAGTTCAATGGCAGCGACGTGGACTCCCTCATGCAGCGGGCCAATCGAACGGAGTACGGCCTGGCCAGTGGCGTCTTCACCAAGGACATTGGCAAGGCCCTCAGCTTCGCCGATCGCATTGAGGCCGGCACCGTGTTCATCAACGTTTACAACAAGACGGACGTGGCCGCTCCCTTCGGTGGCTTCAAGCAGAGCGGCTATGGCAAGGACCTCGGTCAGGAGGCACTCAATGAGTACCTGAAGACCAAGTGTGTGACTGTGGAGTACTGAAAGGGGAAAAAGTAAAGTACGGAGAAGAGAAGAGCAACTGAATCGGGGAAGGGGCCAAGCCCAAGAATGAAAAGACTTTATGTTTTGCCTAGCTCATATTTATATGTTTGTGATGAAACCCTTATCTAATAAATACAACTAAATTGTCAGCTTCTGCATTGTTATTGTTGTTATTGACAAGGATTGGAAAAAGTTTAGTATATTTTTATATGGTTTTGATAAACTTTTATCTATTAAATGAATACTTCAAAATAGTATTTACAATAAATTGTCCATTATGATGGTGCAACACAAGTTTGTTTGACAAGTTGGATTAGTATTATTTGAAAGTATCTTTCTTTTAATTTAAAAATTTAATTTATTTACTATTTTATTTTATAATTGCAATGTATATAAGAAATTTTAACACTTGTGACATAACCATATCGGTTGTAGCG